AGGCAAGGGAGGGGGACAAAGGCCTTGAAGTAAACCTATGCACTTTATTTCCCCTACCTAACAGCACGTACCTGTTCTTTGCTCCTCCTCCACTTAATACTTCCAGGTATGGCAAGCATATTACATCCCGGGTACTTGTCTATGTAGAGAGACTTGAGGCTTAATCAGAGTTTCCGTTCCTAACTTGGGCAGCTGAACAGAGCAGTGGGCTCATTCACACCATGGTGGGTTTCTCTGCATGCGTTCTGCAAGGTCACAACAAAATTGATTGTTCTCTGTGTGCCCTGTTCACACCACAACACTGGCATCACGTGCATTTTCTGCAACATGTATAAAAAATATTTGAAGCATGCATGAAAACTGATGCAAAGCGATGTTTCTGCAAGAGGTATCTGTGTGTCAGTTTCCATCAGTTTTTCTGCACGTATGGTGTGAATGAGGCCTTAAAGAAAACCTGTACAGAGAGAGGCCGCAATTGCTGACCTTTTTCTTGTGATGCGCTGCGGTGTGTTGTCCTCTACTGTGCAATGCACATAAAAGCAGGTTTTTTAATGTGTTTGTGTTGTACCATGCATTGCCACAAGGCTTAAGTATGAATAGGCCCTCAAAGAGCATCACTACACTGCTGAGGTCCTTTCTGTTCTCTCCAGCTCTTCTAAGTCACTTGAAAGAAAACGGTGTGGCTGCCAGTTCTCACCTCAACTAAAATGCTAGTTTCCTGGCTTTTTTCTTACCCACTAGTTTCACAACAGTGACTCTGAAAAAGTAAGACAGTCAGTAGTTCTCATCTACATACTTGTTCTGTGTCACGGTCTCAAAAGGGTTTTCTTTACTAAAGCTGGAGAGTACAAAATCAGGCTCACTTCTTTATAGAAACCAATCAGCTTCTAACTTCAGCTTGTTCAGTTAATATTTTGAATGAATGTAGGGGGAAGATGGCTATAGATAAACAGGTACAACTTATGTAGGAGGATTTGTTTTATCCCTGTGTATCTCCTAAGGCCAGTCACTTTCATTCTGCTCTAGGAGGATGCAGAACCCCTGACCTCTGTCTGGACAGTGCTGATCACATGCACTCTCCCAAGAAAAAAAAAAAACAACCTCTTAATATGTCTTATCAGGAGATAAGATGGGGACACTGGAAAGATCAGACAAGACAGGATCAAACAGTCTTTTTACACAATGCAGCGGATTAACCCCTTAGGTTCCACAGTGAGCATAACAAGCATGCTTTACTGCATAAACAGACTGATTTTACTGTTGTGGGTTTAGGAACACTTTAAGCTTTGGCAATAAAATCAGGAAGCTGGATGGTTTCTAGGCAGAAGTAAGCCTGATTTTGCACTCTCCAGCTTTAGTAAATAAACCCCAAAGTATTGAATCCAGGTCACTGCCTCAAAGTACTAAATCCTTACAACTAGTATTTTCTAAGAATAAGAGCCAATTCCATGTTTTTCTTCAGCCTCCAGTGCCTGAATACAATTTTAAAGTGACAACACTGTTCTAAGGTGTACACCCCAATTGTCAAAAAAAAAAGCAAAACTTCCCAGTTTTGATTTCTGGTGTGCAGCGGATTGTGGTAAGAAAATATAAAGGCATATTTCAGCAGCTGTACTGCTAATATTGAAAAAGCATCTAATGATCCCATAACTGCACTGCATCTTGGGAGGAAGAGGGGGAGAGAGTATTGGGTTTTTCTGACGACTCCAACACACAAAAAGGAGAAAACTAGTAAAGATAAATATAAGAGGAGGAGTGTTGTTAAGAGAGCCTGTTGCTTTAAGCTATAGGGGTGTTACTTGAACTGTTCAGTTGTACAAAATCCAACCATGAAATCTCCATTTGCATGGACTTGTGTCTTGGGAATGAAAATTAATTTACTCTCCCTGTAGTCATATTGTCCCCAATGACAATAAGTGAGCATGACCATGATCTATGTCTGAACTATATCTTTCAAAGGAATCTTATCATAAAATTAGCCCCTTGAGAATAAATGGAAAAGTCTGAAAATGACATGTGTAATCTAGCCCTTTCTAGAAATGAATGTCTGCAATAGTCTCTCTACATTATATATAAAATAATTTGTAAGAACAAAACTACATTTCATAAACACTTCTAATGATAGTATGAGATACTGAGCTCATAAAAACATAAGTTAACAAATATATTGCTAGCATTCTCTCACAATAGGCTGGAAACTCTACATTGTTATTATAGCAGTGTTACAGAGCAGACAGCATGGGGACAGTCTGCTTAAAAATTGAATATAGTAAAAGGTAAAATGTTACATATAAGGCAGCTTATAAAAAAAAAAACAAAATACAAAAATGCAAGCACCTTTCTACTCTGAATAAATGGACTCTCCCAAAGACAACTGCTAGCACCATGTTCAATGTAAACATTACAAAAGTGCTTGTTTGTAATGATTCATGGGAGACACCAACCACAAGCAGCATTTGATTCAATTCCAAATCAGTAAACAATACCCATTAAGATAGAATATTCAGAGAATAGACATCAGTTATACACACACAAGGTTTCACTCTATATAAAATGCAAGAATAGTAACTATTTTCCAAGAACTACAGAGCCCTGGACATCCATGAACCTTACTTGCCTAACCCAAGACAGAACAATAACAAAACAAATTGTAAGTATGCTATAACTGATAAGCATACATATAAACCGGATACATCTTGTGAGAACATGAGACATGAAGAATCAAACAATGAAGGACTTGCTTGTTCCCCAGAATTTGTAAACACTTCACTCAGAGCAGCTACTGTCCACTGGCAGAAACAGTATATTCAAAGACAATTGCTGGACCTTCTGATTTTAAACACACATTGGCACATCTATTTTTTTGGTACCATGAACTGCATTGTTGCATCTATGTTGGAAACACACAGGCAGAACCTGGTGTTTAGCCCAAGCACCTATAATATAGCCAGTCTGGAGGGAGTTTGGCTAAGGGAACATAGACATGTTTGGCTTTTGAGAATACAATAAGTAAACAGTTTTCTGTAAGCTGTCTGTAGATGTTCCTGACTATACCTTAATACTCGAGAAGTACAAAAACACTTGGGGGTCTATTTATAAAGCAGCGAATTTTACTTTTAGCAAACATTCACTGGCAGTCAATAAATAACTGTCTTAAAATGGAACTAGAGTTGAAAATACATTTTCGAATAGGCAGGCTCTATTGCAGAAGAGACATACAATGTTTTTTCTGCAATGAAATACACTTACCTGCCTGTTTCGCAATCCTTTCTAGAATGTACACTGAGATGCACATGCACAGCTCAGTTTACATTTTGGCACAGTGCCTGTGTGCTGGGATGACTGCAATCCTGCTCCTGTGTGAGAGACATCATCCCATGCTAGACATTTAAGACAACTGAAGACCAACACCCGAACGTAGTCAGGGAGAAGATGCTGATGAGGGACCTTGCAGGTATCAGATCACTGGAACAGAGGAAAGTATTTCTGACTTTTAAAATATGCACTTGAAAGCCTCACCTTCTAGGAATGTCACATTCACTACTTTATAAATCTGCCCCTTGGTGAATGTCTTGGGTATTTGTTGGGCGGTCGCAGGGTGCCTGGTGAGCATTTGCCATTCATTTCAGAAAACCTTCCAATCGTTTGGCAGACCATGTGAAATTGAAAACACTTCTACAGAAGCATCTTAGGTTAGAGAAGTGGAGACGCATTAGTGTCTGGTGAGTCTATTGTTGAAAGTGATTACTGTGTTGAGGATACCCTTGTGGGCACTTTTCAGGTAATAAAAGTCCATCACAAAAGTTGTTAGCCTGAAAGCTGCTTACACAACAAAATACTTGATAACCAATTAATATTTTGCCTTGAGTTGTCATTAAAGTGGAAGACATGCCTAAGTATAACTATTCTTAAAATTGTTCCCTCCCCTTCCTCCTACCTTTCCTGTATAAAAAAAAAAAAAAGATCTGCGTACTTACCTATTTTCAATCTGCTCCATTATGGTCACGTGGTCCTGCAGATCTGTGTAAGGGAGTGCTTGACAATGGCTGTAAATTCCAAGAGCTGTTATGTCACAAACAAGCTCCCCATGGTCCAGCTGGTCCACACTGGGGAGCTGGAGCTGCAGGATCGTGTGACCAGACCAGAGCAGATTAAAAATAAGTACAAACATCCTTTTTTTTTTTTTTTTAAACAGGTGAGGCAGGATAGGTAAGAGGGGGGGGGGGAGCATTTTTAAGAATAGTTATAGTTAGGCTTTTATTCCACTAACTTCTCAAAGTGGTTGTAAACCTCAGACGTAAAATATTAACAAACCATATCCTTCTATACTGCGTGCTTGTCTCAATCCAGGACATTAAATGTCATTTCTGTCTGCTGCTTCATTCCTTTGCTATCTACATGAATCTCTTCTGACAAGTTTTCCTGACACCAAGAGAAAAATAAGTGACGGGAGGGCACAGCCTGTGGTCGATAGCCTCAGCTCTACTCCTGTGAACTGTATGAAGGAGAGTGTTCCCTCCTATCAGCTCTCAAAGCTCTCCTCACTGAAGTAACTTCAAGTCCCTGCCTCCTGCTTTTCAGAGCTGAGAGAACCTGTGTAAATTCTGCATTTTGAATGAATGTAGGGAAAAGATGGCTATAGATAAACAGGTACAAATTATGTAGGAGGATTTGTTTTATCCTTGTGTATCTCCTGAGGCCAGTCACTTCACTATGTATATGTAAGTGTTTACAACCACTTTAAGAGCCAACTATTTCTGAATAGACCAAAAAAAATTACAGATTTCTGTGTTATTGCCACACAAACCAAACACCATCTGCCCAAATGTAATGGGCATGCCAAAGCAAGATGATGGGCTTTTATGTGCTTCTCACCAGTAGATTCACAAAACCACATAAATTGGGGAGTCTACATGCAAAAACGAGGCGAAACTCACTGGTGCTCAACCACAATTAAATGTCATTGGCCAATTAAAGTGTTACTAAACCCAGGACCCTGCATTCACTATATCTGGTCTCCCACAGTACACAGAACATGGAAATGCAATTATTTTAGTAAATATAAACTGCTAAATAGCTTTTCTCATCTGCACTTAGAACAGTCTTGTGACTTCTATCAGTGTTCATCAGAGCACATGTTAAAGCTTGTAGGAGGAGTTTTTTTTTTCTAGGAGGATGTAGAACCCCTGACCTCTGTCTGGGCAATGCTGATCACATGCACTCTCCCAAGAAAAAAAAACAAAACAAAAAACCTCTAGAAATACACACCAAATTGAGCATGTGCAGTGTCTCCACACAATATGTCTTATCAAAAGATAAGAGGAAGACACTGAAAGAAAGGGAGGATCAAAGAAGACAGGATCAAACATCCTTTTTACACAATGCAAAGGAATAACCCCTTAGGTTCCACAGTGAATATAACAAGAATGCTTTACTGCAAATACAGACTGATTTTACTGTTGTGGGTTTAGTAACACTTTGATGCTCCTTGCTTCTGCCATGTAATGATCATGCTTTTTTTCCTATATTATTAAAAATAAATCCCACAGTGTCTGCTATTCATAACGGTCCTGTCTGCATGTCACACTTGCCAGACCACATGAAGAAAACTTGGCATATTCTTGATAGGGCATTCCTTCCAAAACAGAAGCAGGATGAACAGTGAACAGTTAAAGATTCTGGAAAATACGAACTACAATTTGCTACAGGGTACAAAATACACATATTACAGAAGTTAACTTGCCTTGACAGCTAAAAGAAAATTAGAAATGGATGCAGAATAAGAAAAAAAAAAAGAATATTTAAAGAATTTAACTGAAACAAATAATTTGCAGCTCTAAGACATAGGTTTTTATTTATTTTAAGTAGACCCTATAGGCATTTTTTTCATTCATTTTGGATACAGTAAGGGAGGGTGGTTATAACCCCTATCAGTTTTTTTACCATCTGTGTTCCATTGGGGAGATTTACCTTCACGTCCTATCTATAGCCAAAACAGGAAAGGAGAGGAAATCCCCATTGGATGATTTCCCCTCTATTACTTTCCTAGGGACAATCCAAATACTTTTCTTTTGCTTTCAATAATAGGACACAGGGCAAATAGAGAAGGCAAATATCTCTAACTGGTGCACAGATAGCAATAAATACCTAATAGGAGTTCTAATCCAGCTCTACCCTGTCCAAGACAGGAAAACCCCCCCCCCAAAGTTTTGCCTTTAGTTATACTTTAATACTTGTAAAAAGAACAGTTTGACATGGTACGTCACAGCAACCAGATTTTAGAGGTTTGGACAGACTAATGGAAGATCATCTGATTACTGGTTTATAGTACAGAGTGCAGCAACATAACTTCCTTTTTTCAAAACGCAATAAACCCATTTTATGAATCAGAATTGTTTTTATTGTCTTTAACAATGTAGGTACATATCTAAAGTTCTGTTTTACACAGTTTTGAAAATCATATCAGGTAGGTGACGCCCCCCATTGTCCATACACTGAATAAGTGAATTCAGACCAGTATGTGAACATGTTGGAGGAATTTGTTTTTCCACGACTTGATGAATTGGACTTAGGGGACATTTGGTTCCAACAGGACGGAGCAACGACTCACACTTCAAGAGCATCAATGGCTGTTTTAAGGGAACACTTCCCGGAGCGCCTCATCTCAATAAGGGGCGGTTTGGAGTGGCCAGCCCGCTCCCCCGATTTGGCCCCTTGCGACTTTTTTTTGTTGGTTTTTTTTAAACCCCGCGTTTATGTTAACCGTCCAAGGACCCTACAAGACCTGAAGGCCAAGATCCGCGCAGAAATTGCCAACATACCCGCTGCTATGCTGGTAGGGCCATGAAAAACGCCAGAAATCGGCTTATTCAGTGTATGGACAATGGGGGGCGTCACCTGCCTGATATGATTTTCAAAACTGTGTAAAACAGAACTTTAGATATGTACCTACATTATTAAAGACAATAAAAACAATTCTGATTCATAAAATGGGTTTTATTGCGTTTTGAAAAAAGGAAGTTATGTTGCTGCACCCTGTACTTTCTTTACCTTATTAAATTAAAACCACCAATATTGTTCTTCAGAAATAGCTGTTCAATAACATTTCACTTCGGTATAACCAATAAACTGGAAATTCACTTGTGGCTCCTCTAGCAGTGTTAAATGTGTCATAAAATGGTTTTATGAATATGAATTAAACTACTCTAGTTACCAATTTTATCACATATCGAATTACATAAAATAATAATAATAATTTAACAGCTATTATATTCCATTATCAATTACGTCCACAAAATAAATTCTTTGTCGCTTTTTTTTTTTGTTAAGGATAAGTGAACTTTTTAAAACACATTAGCACATGAATATAACCAAGCAAACAAGACCAGGGCAAAAATATATTTTCTCCTTTTCTTTGGGAGACATCCTGAAGGGTCCATCCAGTTTAAATATGTTTAAAAATCAACCCGCATAAAAAAACATGAGAATGGGGGGGGGGTGCTTTATAGATTTTTATTTCACGCAGAATCAAACGGTAGCATCATTTTATCAGACAGATCCTTTAATTGTAGTACATTCTCCAAATACCTGAACTTGTGATTAATTTGGACAATTGAATCCTGTAAAATCCATTTCTCTGTGTTCATTGGAGAACCTAGCTCTGCTTTAGAGCACCACCTAAGGAATGTTGTGCCACCTGTAGCAGCCTCTAGCAACCAAGGCCCTTTTGGGCTGAAACAGATCAGCTTTTCCTGTTGGCTGTGTTTTTAGACTTGTGTACCAATAAAATGTTTTTTATACTGGAACTTTCTGTGATGTGGACTGTTACTAATATCCTATTGGACGTGAGCTTGCAGAAACTGGACTTGGGCTCCAGAACTCTACAGTCTGATTGGGATATTGGGATACAGGGACTGACTACTTCACTTGGATTTTATACTAACTAGATATAGGTCAAATTAATTAAAATTCATGTAAGTTTCAGTTCACAATAATTTAGTTACAAAGCTGAAGTACAGTAGGTGGTGTTATTCTGTACACAAAGGCTGATTTTTACTTTCAGACAGACATGGCACAAAAGTGGGATCATTGACATTTAAATGAAGTTGGGAACAAAATTCTAGCTCGATTCCATAAGATTTCCAATGAGAACATTAACACAAAGTGACATTCAAAATAAATCAGGAGGATGTATAAAGTGTATAAAGAAAAACACGGAAAAACAGGACTGTGGGAATGATTGTATTTTCTAGAGCGTTTGCATGCAACTTTAATGTATCAGTATTAATATGTGAGATATCTAAGATAGCTGAAAAAACAATCATCTAACAGTACAGCAAACAGGTGTATTAACTACACAAAAAAAAAAAAAAAAAAAAAAAAGACATTACAGATGACCTGATGAAAAATGTAAAAAAATGCATGCCAACCCTTTTACAAAATATGTACTTCAAAGCTTAAGAACAGATCATGCATTACTTTTAATGGTTTCTTGCCTTGTTGTAAACGTGGGCAAAAGGGGACTTTATATGCTAAGAGCCCATGGGTCTGAATGAGGCTCATTGCTCTTACACTGCTGAAGGAAATGCAATGGTACAATATTCCAGCGTGCTACTCATGTGTAGGTTCTCACAAAAGACTAAGATGCTGTGACCAAATTATGATAATGTCATTATACATTTATGATTATGTAATCTCTGCATGGAATCAAGTTTTGTTTTCTGATCGCAGATTTTATGTTACAAAATAGAAATGGCTGACATAGGCTTATAAATATTACTACCTATGCATGCAGCTGAGTTTAGAAGTGGCATATCCAAAACACTTCAGTTTTGTCAAGTATTAAATGAAGGTCATGTTAAATGAGCTACATAAAGAGATCCAATGTTTGCAGTTTTACAGCACCATCTTACATATAGGCACTTAACACTTTATTAAAGGGATTGTTCACTATATGGCAAAGCAAGTCCCACGCTAAATAAATTACCGTTTGGCAAGCCTCTTTATTCAAAGCTTAAGGTTAATCTGCTTATAATTGACCTTCCTGGTACCTCTAACGCCATTCCAAAATGCAAATTCATTTTTTTTCTAAATAAAACCTTTATGTTTTGATACATACCTAATTTTTTTTTTCTGCTCTGTAAGAACATCACCGGATCTATTATTATCTATCTAAAAAAAAATACATGGACAGAAATAAAAACTTGACAGGGATTCTGACACTTCCTCATTCCATCCAAACAACCTTCAAATACATTTGGAATGGTCAGGCTTGTGTAAGCCTGTTCTTAGTGTGCTGCACCTCTACAATCTCACCCACAAATCCAAGAAAAGCCCAAATTTCCAGATGACACAACATACTCCTCCCACAATTCTGAAGGTTAGGATCAAGCTTATTGCATCTGCTATCAAGCCAGGGCATTAGGGGCAAGTAAACCTGAAATCTGAGATTCATTGGCCCTACCTGGAAAGCAGTGCTCTTTAAATCGTTTTTTAAAGCAAAATTGTGCCTGTAAGACACAGCCAGAACTGTATTTACAATAATGGCATGTGCATGCCAGCGCCTAGGGCAGCAGGGTTAGAAGGATCAGACTTAATTTGTGATAACTTTTTAAGTTGTTGCTCTTCTGCTCAACTATGGGCATTCATGGCTAAATTTAGCTAGCAAACTATAGGGGGAAGGAGGTGCAAAAAAAAAAACAAAACAAAAAAAAAAAAAACCTCACTACAGTTCAAAAAACCACATCTCCTTTCTTGTTTGGTGGACTGAACAGATTAACGGTAAATCTGCATGTAATGCAACCTCCATGCTTTCTCCAATAGCTCATAAGCAGTGTTTTTATTAAAATACATTACATATGAGACAAGCTAAAAAGAATAAATTCACCTACAAAAAAAGAAAAAAAAAAAAAAAAAAAAAAAAAAAAAAAAAAGATAAAAAGATGTGCATTTATTATTTTTTTTCTTGGGAGCTTGTGATACATAGCATCCGCAATCAGCAGATTGTGGGTGCAATATCAGGCTCTTGAAGACTGTCAGTACATCGTCTGTCTGTACCTCCTTTACAGGGTAGGCTGCTACTTAAGTCCAGGAAACTCAATAGACTATGAGATTGCTTACCAGTACCCTTGCAGTTCATTGAGAACTACAAGCCATCAGCTGCAATGGCTGACAGTACTTGCAGTCATTACACAGCCAGGTGGGTGCAGGCCCACGAGGCCTCATGGTTTTCAAATTGTGACAGCGAGTGAAGGGAGAAGGTCCCCCGCCTGCTGTCACAAGTAGAGGGCAGATCAGGGGGTGAGGTGGTGGATACTCAACATGTTACACCCTAAATATGGGGTGTAACATGTTGAGAAAGGCTATATAGAAGGAAGAGGGTTGAGGCACACAGGCAGGCCTCATGATGGGCTAACACAAACAAACATCGATATTTTTTTTTTTTGCATTTCCTACAGGATGCATAAAGCCC